AGGGAGAGGGAGGGAGGGAAGAAGGAAGGAAGGAAGGAAGGAAGGAAGGAAGGAAGGAAGGAAGGAAGGAAGGAAGGAAGGAAGGAAGGAAGGAAGGAAGGAAGGAAAAGCAAAATTGTTCAAAACAAAAAGGTACTTAATATTTGCTGTTGTTTAGTTCACGAAGTATTATATGTTCAAGCCAATTGCAAAGGGGGAAAAAGTCCTTTAGAGGTAGTAGAAATTTTACATCTAATTTTTTGTCTTTTTTGCCAGTCCTGAGAGCTTCTTTTGTTCAAGGCTAGCACTCTACCACTTGAGCCACAGCATCTCTTCCAGCTTTTTCTGTTTATATAGTACTGAGGAATCGAACCCAGGATTTCATGATTGCTAGGCAAACACTCTACACTGAGCCACATTCCTATCCCATCACATCTGAATTTAATAGGAAAATCTGAATATATATTTGACTAATCATGAACTTTTCTTGGAGGGCTGGGAAGGTAGCCAGCGGTAGAGCGCTTGCCTTGCATGCATGAGGCCCTGGGTTCGATTCCTCAGCACCACATAAGCAAAAAAGAAAAAAAAAGCCAGAAGTGGCACTGTGGCTCAAGTGGTAGAGCGCTAGCCTTGAGCTGAAGAGCTGAGGGTCAGTGCCCAGGCCCAGAGTTCAGGCCCCACAACTGGACCCAAAAAAAAAAAAAAAAAAAGACTCTTGGAAAAATACTGTGGCAAAAAAGAAAAAATACTGTGACGGCACTGTCCTGCTTCTTAGAGAATGAGGAAATAGGCTGTGATCTAAATGTTGGACAGAGCCAGACACCAGTGGTCATGCCTGTAATCCTAGCTACTCAGAAGGCTGCGATCTGAGGATCACAGTTTGAAGCCAGTCCAAGCAGGAAAGTCCATGAGACTCTTATCTCCAATTAACCACCAGAAAACCAGAAGTGGCACTGTGGCTCTAGTGGTAAACCCCTAGCCTTGAGCTGAAAAGCTAAGGGATAGTGCCTAGGACCAGAGTTCAAGCCCTATTACAAAAAAAAAAAAACACTGGTATTGCCATCAAAAAGTAAAAATAAAAAGAGAAGCGAAAACTATCACTGAAATCAAAAATTACAGATTATATATTTTAGATCCCAATTTGATGACAAGTATATCAAATTACTAGAATCCTGTATTATTTAGAAAGTGTTCCTATAAGCTTAATTGAAGTTTTCTTAGAAATAGAAGGAAAGAAACCAAATAGCATCTTAAACATGCTATCTCTCATAGTATGAATCTGTTTAAAATTATGACCATAAAGACATGTGAGTCAGGCACTGGTGGCTCATGCCTGTAATCCTAGCTACTAAGAAGGCTGAGATCTGAGGATCTTATTTCAAAGTCAGCCCAGGCAGGGAAGTCCATTAGACTTCAAGTACTATGGCCAAAACACACCAAAAAAAAAGAATAAGAAGTGAAGCTGGGCACCACTGTTCATACCTGTAATCCTAGAGACTCAAGAGGCTGAAATCTGAAAATTGCAGTGCAAAGCCAACCAGGCCAGGAAAGTCCATGACACTCTTATCTCCAAATAACCACCAGAAAACCAGAAGTGGTGCTTGTGGTAGAGCACTAGCCTTCAGCAAAAAGCTCAGGGACAGCACCCAGGCCCTGAGTTCAAGCCCCATGACTGACAAAAAAGAAAAAGAATAGGGGGTGACATTGATCAAGATGGATTGTATTCATAAACTGCTTTGTACAACTACTTAAAATATTTAAAGAGAATATTTAAAAAGAAAAGAATATATTGGCATCGAGCACCAGTGGCTTACACCTCTAATCCTAGTTACTCAGGAGGCTGAGATCTGAGGATCAGGGTTGAAAGACAGTCCAGGCAGACAAATCTTATGAGACTCTTGTCTCTAATTAACCAGCAAAAAGGCAAAAGTGGAGATGTGGCTCAAGTAGTACAGTGACAGCCTTGGGTGGAAAAAGACAAGTGAGATCACAAGGCCCTGAGCTCAAGGGCAAGTACCAGCACAAAAACAAGAACATATTGGCACCAGGCATAGTAGCACAAATCTGTAATCCCAGAACTCAGAAGAGTGAGGTAAGAAGATTATGTATGCATCAAGGCAGTCTGGGCTATAAAGAAATAATATATTAGTCTTTAGATCTCAAAGTCAGAATGCAAGCAAAGATTTATGTAAAAGACCTCCATCTATTAGTAGAGAGCTGGTTTCCAAGCATTAGAGTTTTTAGCTTTGTGTAGAAAAGAAACCTAAAAGGTTTTCTTACTCTACCATTAGCTGCTAAGGGTTGCACACATTGATGGCACATTAGAACTTAAATCCTGTTTACAAACATCAGTTAAAGAAAACTCAACTGGTTGGCCATACTAATGAAGTCCAAAGAAAATTCAAAACAAAATAAACAATAAATCCATCAAGTTCCTTCCACATAGGGTACACACATCAAATCACCCATTTTATGAATGATGGAAGGAAACAGCAAACAGAACAGCAAAGCATGTATTATTGAGCACCTCTATTTGTCTGGAGAATATAAAAAGGAGAAAAAAAAGTACAATAGAAAAGAAAAAGAATGATAAAGGTGAAAAGGTAGATTGGTCCATATTGTGTAATAAAAAATGTCTTGAAAGTAAGTTATTTAACACTGGTAAAAGATTGAATTATGGTGAGGTCTAAAGATTAAGCCCTAAATTCAATTATATAGAAGTGGGGAGGGTATAGTTTTTTGGGTTTTCTTTTTTCTTTTTTTTTTTTTTGGTTGTGGGTCTTGAACTCCAGGCCTGGGTGCTGTCCCTCTCTTCAGCTCAAGGCGAGCACTCTACCACTTGAGCCACAGTGCCACTTCTGGTTTTCTGGTAGTTTATTGGAGATGAGAGTCTTACGGACTTTCCTGCCCAAGCTAGCTTTGAACCTCCATCCTCAGATCTCTGCCTCCTGAGTAGCTAGGATTATAGGCATGAGCCACCAGCGCCCAGCTGAAGTATAGTTTTGTTAGTAGATGAATCGGAAGGTTGGTATGCTGAACTTGAGTTCAATGAGTTTACTGTGTGTGTGTGTGTGTGTGTGTCAGTACTGGTGCTTGAACTTAGGACCTGGGTGCTTTTGTGCTTAATGCTAGTGATATATCACTTGAGCCACAGCTCCTCTTCTGGTCTTTTTGGTGCTTAATTGGACATAAGAGTCTCACAGACTTTTCTGCTTGGGCTAGCTTTGAATCATAACCCTCAGATCTCAGCCTCCTGAGTAGCTAGGATTACAGGCATGAGCCACTGGCACCTGGCTTGAGTTTACTTTTTAATAGTGGCAAAACTCATGGCTCTTGTGTCTCTAGGGATATGAATAACGGCTATCTTTACCTTAATTATAACCTTCTTGTAGATAACAATGTGCATCAGCACTTTGATTTCAAAGCAATCTGATGATTTTTCTTTGTAGTGCTGGGGATCAAACCCAGAGCTTCACATAAGCTAGGCAAAGCACTCCACCACTGAGCTACATCCCCAGATTTATCCGTTTTTAAATTTGCCTTTTATTGCTTACTGTGTGCTAGAATAGTAACAGCCTCCGGCACCAATTCATAAAAACCACATATATGGTAATAAATGTATTGTCTTCGATCGACAGAAAAGGAAAATCATGGGAGCATCACATTTCCTCAAAAAGGGTTCATTCTACACTAACAAAATTGCAATGTGAATTTCATAATGAATATTATGCTTCATTTAAAGGCTCAGCTTTAAAAAAAAAAATGCCAGTGCTGACAATACACAAAACAGTAATGAGCAACAAGCACTGAGTATTGCATATCCTCGAGAAAGTATAAATTCACTACAATAATACCCAAGACACAAGACATAACCATTTCTTGCAATTTTCCCTAAAACACAAGGAACAAAATAGCAGCTGTGAAATCACAGACTACTAAAAAAAGCTCAGTGTCTTTAAAAAAAAAAGAAGAAGAAGAATTAAAACTATCTTTTAATCAGCAACAAATGCCCTCCCCCCCCCCCCAAAAAAAAACGACGCCTCCACAGAGTAGTCTTTTATGGGAGGGTACACAGTTGGAGAAACACCAGGATGACAGTCACTATCGTGTGGCCAGAAACCAAGCCTCCAGCAATTTGGTGCACGTGAGATCACTTTCTCTCTAACCACCCCCCCCCCTCGCCGCCCCAAGAATGTCTGTTCTTGGGGAGAAAGACCCTGTTTGGGCAAAGCCTCCCCGGGAATAACGGCCTGGTGACGACATTGCGAGGCCAGCGCGGCTCCAGGCTCCGCACAGGTACAGCGGCCCCGCCAGCCAGGGACATCTTTCCAAGCCGACAGATGCGCGAACTGCAAAAGGAGGTCACGACGCTGAGATGGCTTTAACCCTTCGCTCGCGGGGAACCGTGAAGATTAAGGGGGACAGGCACTGAGTGTGGGGCTGGGGAGATTTTTTTTTTTTTAATGATGCAGGTGACTATGGCGGGAAGGCCTTGAAGAGCAGCTTGACTCCCTCCACCCTCAGATCTGCCTGACTTCTTCCAAACAGCCCTAGCCCCCTGCTCGCGCGGAGGGGGAGATGCCAGCCGCAGCTGCGCCCCAACACCTTTCGCCCTCTGAAACCTGCAATTCCCTCTACCTGGATTCCAGGCAAAGCTCCCGGGCAGTGACAGGCCGGAGGGGCCGGGCGGCAGAGACACCCGGCGCCTAACTTTGAAACGCTGCCCCCCGTGCACCCCACCCCACCTCAGTCCTCACCAGCTCCCCGCCGCCGCCCGCCCGCCCCGGGCTCCTCAGGCCGCATCCCGGCTCCGGCCCTCAGCGCCCGGCGTGCACACGGGACCCCCTCGGCTGCTAGCGGAGCCCGCGCGACCCGCCTGGGGCCTGCAGGGGGGCTGGAGACAAAGAAGCTGTGGCGCCGCCGCGGTCGCCGGGACCGTCCCCTCGGGGACAGCGCCGCGCCCCCTCCCGCCCCGGCTCGCGCGCCGCGGTCGCCGCCGCCGCCGCCGCGTCTCGCCTCACCGGTAGCTCACGGCCCGGGCTCCCGCGCCTGCCCGCTGATACAGTCGAACGAACAAAGGCAGGAGGCGGGCGCTGGCGTCCGAAGCTCGGGCCCTCGGTGGCTCGCTGGCCCGCCGGCGGCTCGCTGCTTGACTAAACCTACAGGCGAAGGGAGGGAGGGAGCGAGCGAGCGAGAGAGCGAGCCAGCTGCAGCCCAGGCGCGCGCCCTCCCGCCTTTCCTCCGAGAGGCGAGGCCGCCCGGCCCGCAGCCCGCCCGCCCGCGCACGCCCCTCCCCCTCTATTCGCCACAACATTGTAGTAAATTTCTATTGGACGGCGCGGGAGGGAAGGAGGGGGCCTGGCTCGCGGGGCGCCAGCCCATTGGCTGAGGCTAAGTTCTGGCTCTTCAGGTCTTCTTTCCCCCTCCCCCCTCCCCCCTCCGGTAAGGACAGGGGAGGGTAAGGAAAAGGAGGAGGGGGAGGCGAGGGGCCTAGCCGCTGTGCGCATGCGCAAGTCGGAGTCTAGAACCCTAGTCTAGGTATTCCTGGCTCCAGCAGCACCCTCCTGAGGAATAAGAAGTGTCCAGTGCCCTGAAAACAAGCGAAACATTCCTGCCGGTGGAGGACAGGGGAGTGGCTGAGATCTGGAAATCACAGGGAAAAAGGAGCTCCCATTCAATCTACCCCAGTGGACTGCCTCATGTACCCAGTACACTCTGGTGAGTCACCTAGATTCTCTGGATTTCAGTTTTCCCATCGATTAGCTTGACCATCTCTAAAGTGCCATTCCAACCCTGACATTCGATAAGACTTTACTTCTCTTGGCAGCCCTGATAAGGCCCGAAATGGAATCTAAGAATTAAGAACTCGCCAAGATTTCATCTGCCTTTTCTGCATTTCATATTCTTCTAATTCTTCCCTGGTGGAATTCACCTTCCAAGGTGAATTTAGTATGGCCCTGATAATTGCACTAATGTTGTATTTATTTCCCTGCAGAAGTTTCAGAGGGCTTCATCACCCATCACACTTCCTGCTAGACTTGTCTGGGCCGGAGTCCCACAGAGCAGGAAGACAGCTCTGTTTAAAGCACGATATCGAGAAAGTAAAATACGTTGTGGTATTACATTTTAGAGATGAGCAGAGACTTGCACATGCCAGCTAGACTGTCTCAGCCTTGGGAGGCAGACTGCCTGGATTCAAGGCTCAGTCTCTGCCCTCCCTAGTTGTTGGGCCTTCTCTGTGCCTCAGTTTCTCACCCTATTCATTTATGAGAACAACAGTTCCCACCTCACAGAGTTACTGCAAGAATTATTAATCACATATTAACTAAACTATGTAAAGGGCTTAGCGCAATGCCTATCACTTAGTAATAAGTGTTATTACTGTTTGGAGACTAGAATATCAACTGAGAGATGTGCAACTGGCTGATGTAATAACATTTGCTAAGCATTCAATTGTTGGGTCTGAGCCGGGCATATTATATAAAACTTGTTTTAAACATCATACAACTCCTTCAAGACCAAAGATTTTAGCTAAAACAGCCTCCATTTGTACACCTTTGCCTTGCTTTAATCATCAAACTTTTCTCAGCATTTACCCTTACCTGACTTTCTATTTTTGTGTTTCCAGTACAAGAGCTTGAACTCAGGGTCCTGGGCACCATCCCTTAGCTTTTTCACTGAAGACTGGTGCTCTACCACTTGAGCTCCATTCTGACTTTCTGGTGGTTAATTGGAGATAATGTTGTATAAACATTAAACCATAACCCTCTTTTTTTTTTTTTTTGGTCAGTTGTGGGGCCTGAACTCTGGGCCTGGGCACTGTCCCTCAGCCCTTCAGCTCAAGACTAGCACTTTACCACTTGAGCCATAACATCACTTCTGGCTTTTTCTGCTTATGTGGTGCTGAGGAATTGAACCCAGGGCCTCATGCATGTAAGGCAAGCACTCTACCACTGAGCCACCTTCCCAGCCCAATCTCTGCCTCTTTAAGTGGTTAGGATTGTAGGTATCAGCCACTGGCTTCTGTCTATTTATTCCTTTATTTATTTATTTATTGGCTCTCTCAACTAAATTGTTGTAATCTAGATCCTAGAGACCAACCAGCTCATGACAGGGACTTTATCCCTTTTGTTCATCTCCCAAAAGCATGAACATATTCAATATTTGTTTGATAGGCAAATGGATTGTCTATTTTCCCTGTTTTCTAATAGGGAAAATGAGGCTTAGTAAATTCAGGTAACTTTAGCCAGGGTCATTCTGTATACTAGAGGTGAAGCACATGTTCATAAACACTCTGATCCCAACTTCCAGTTCTCAAGTTCAGCTGTGTTTTTGATTCAGGGAGTGCTAGTCCTACCACTTCTGTTCCTCAAAGACTTCCTTCACCGGTTAGGAAAATGGTATCATGAAGGATGAATACTGGAGATCAGTCCCCAGACAGCACACCACTTCCACCACCAAATCCAGATTCATGAAAAGTAACATTCTCTGTGCCTTGAAGTGCTGGCCAATGGCAAATATTTGAAGATGCTTGGTAGATACACAGAATTTGTAGTATTTAATAATTATCCTAATTGTCACCCTGAAAATAAGTGGAGATAATAAGGCTAACAGAGGGTTAGACAAAAGCAGATGTAAATCACTGTTAGCTTGAGAATGTCATGCAATGTCATATTAAAATCTGTTGGTCTAAGTTTTGTAAATCCTGGATTCCAGTGCTAGATTTTAATTCTTAGCCTGGGGATGAAAGGGCTTTGTAAACTAAAGTACCATCCACACATGAGTTGTTGTTGTTGTTGTTTTTTAATAAATTACTCATCATTACCTGTTAGGCTAAGTGTCCTATCTCTGAGCATAGCTGGGTCCATCCCATACTGGAAACTGGAGATACAAATAACATCCACTCTGAAGGCAGAGAAACTATCCTTACTCCTAAGTCCCATCTGCCAAACCAGACATCCAGTCCCAGCTCACCCTGTAGAGGCTGCTTTGGGTACCAATCACCATCTCTGAGACTAATTTCCTAAGCGGAAATGGCTCAGCTCCATGCTCACTTGTAGGTGGAGGCTGTGCTGTGCTTCAAGGCTCGGGATGGAGTCTCTAGGGGCCATCTCTATCCCGCCTGCCAGCTGAGCCTGCCACTTCCTCCTCCACCACTCCTCAGGGTCCTTCCTAGGGAATACAGGCCCCATTAGCTGCCTATTAGCCCCTGGAGGGGGTCAAGGACACTAAGCAGAAGGCAAGAAAGGAAGTTTTAAAAAAGAGAGAAAGAAAGGAAGAAAGAAAGAAAGGAAGGAAGGAAGGAAGGAAGAGGAAAGAAAGAAAGAGAGGAAAGAAAAAAAGACAGCATGAAAGGATCTTAAGCCTTCCCCTTCACAATCTGAGCTCCAGCAAAAGCAAACACCAGCTGCAAGAAAGAGTATAAAATTAAGTGGTAAAATTAGGTGGTAACCCAGTGGAGTGAACCAGGAAGGTAGATGAGACCTCTGATGACCTGGAAGAAATGAGATTGGAAGAGAGAAGGTTCAGGGTGGGGGAGTTAGAGTGTAAACTGTACCCAAATCTGGGACATAAGCAGATTAGGGACACAGCTGCCCTGAAGTCCCAGTGATAGGGCTCATGGAAAACGTTTGTTGTGGTGAGCAGCAAGCAATGAAAAGGGCTTTTAAAAGCTGGGCCCATCTACAGAGTGTTCTGAATGGTCACTTCAGAATAAAACCAATCCTGGCACCAAAAGCACATGAAGAGTAGAGCCTTCCTTTCTGCCCATGGTCATAAAATTGCCATCACTGTAGACCTTCGAAGCCCAAATGGTAAATCAAACAAGCTATAGCAGGATGGGAATTACTGCTCAGACAGTGGAATATCTTTCTAGGGGATTGTTTTTTATTAGGAGTACTTGAATTATTCATAGAGATTTTTAGAAAATGTAGTTAAGTAAGAATATAGTTAAGTAAAAATATAAACCACGATAAAGTCACCAATCAGGGAAAATTACCATCAAGCCAGTGCCAGTGGCTCACACGTGTAATCACAACTACTCAGGAGTCAGATCTGAGGATCTCCATTTGAAGTCAACCCAAGCAGAAAAATCTGAGAAATTCTTATCTCCATTTAACCAGTAAAATGACAAAAGTGGAGGTGTGACTCAAGTGGTAGAGTGGAAAAATCTAAGTGAGAGTCAAGTCCCAATACCAACCCCAACTCCACCCCTACACACACAAAAGCAACATAAGGCAGACATTTGCATCATCATTTTTAACAAAACTATCCAGTAATTGTCTGTAATAGTTAACCCTCTTATTGGATGGCTAGGTTGTTTACCATTTTTCTCTCTTAACAATGGTTTTTAACAAATGTCCTTTATCTAAATTAGATAATAAAGATTAAAACTAAGATGGGCATCAGTGTCTCACACCTATAAACATAGCTACTCAGGAGGCTGAGATCTGAGGATCATGGTTCAAAGCCAGCCCAGGCTGGCTTGGAGACTCTTATCTCCAATAAACCACCAGAAAACTAAAAGTGGCACTGTGGCTCAAGTGGTAGAGTGCTCGCCTTGAGCTAAAGAACTCAGAGACAGCATCCAGGCCCAGAGTTCAAGCTTGCTTTGCAAGCACAGTAACTGCTGGGTCTGGGGCTTAGGCTTAGGTTTGCTAGAATGCACAGTACCCTGGGTTCAATCCCCAGCACCACACATGCGTGTGCTAAAAATACTAACAAGTGCATTTATGAAGTTTTTGCTATGTGTTGAGCCCAAGTCCTTTATGATACATTATCACACTCAGCTTCATAGCAACCCTGGAAAGTATTATGAGCCTCATGTACCCATGAAGAAACTACAGCTTAGGCTGTCAGGTGATCAGCTCCGTGACGCCAGTAGCCTCTATTACGTACGGTTTTCATATCCCTTTCAGGAAAGCAGCTTAGAAATTATATAAATGAACAATGCCAACATCCCCAGGGAGAGACTGTTGTGACTGCTGTTGATGGTAGTCGTGGGACATCTACAGAAGGAAGAAAGACTCAGACCTCCCGTTACCCTCTCAAGCCTATTCTCTCACCAGCTGGAGGGAGCCTGTGACCCTGATCCAACAAAGCCTCCAGCTTACCCAAGCTTAACCCACTAAATCTCCCTCCCTAGGGCAAGGAACATTCTCAGGTCTTAG